ACCTCAGCTGATCCGCCTGCCTTGGCCTCCCAAAGTCCTGGGATTACAGGCCTGAGCCACCACACCCCCAGAATATTCTATTTTTGTAAGATATCTACACCTGGGGACTTATAAAAAGCCCCTCAATACAGTATGTCAAAATATAACTTACTTTTTTGCCCACAAAATAGGTTTTGCCTTCCATTCTCTTGTAGTTCATTCAATGGCACGCCGCCTGCCAATTCATCCAGCCTAGAAGTTGAACCTGACTTAATCCACACATCTAGCCACAAGGTCCTCAAAATCTTCCTTGTCTCTCACCCTCTGCCTCCTTCAGGCCCCCTTCACATCTCATACCTGGACCAGTGCAGTTGCTTCCTAATTGCGTGCCCTGCTCCATCTGTTTTCCCTTTCATCTGACTCATTTTTCAAAAACCCACACATGTGCCATCATGTCACTTCCATGCTTTAATTAAGTGTTCCTGATGCCAGATAATATTAGGCTTACGGAAAGTTTGAATTGACATGAAGGAAATACCTATGTATAACCCAACAAAACAGGATACAGAGTGACTATACATTATGCGATCAAGTATGTTTTTTCAAACAGCTCAGAAAAACAAGCCAGAATATTAAATATCTAAGCAATTCTCACTAGTAGAATTATGGGTGTGGTTTTTTTATGTGTATGCTTTGCCAATTTTCCTATTTTTCAATGAAAATTGTAAACTCTTAGCAACTTAAAAGGTTTTAAAAACCTTTTAAGATTTTTAAACTTTTTTTTTAAAAAAGTCTCTAATGTTTTCAGGAAAAAAATATTTACATTCTTAACAGGCATTCAAAAGCCCACTGCAGTCTGTTCTTAGCTTACTCTTTTAAATCTAGCCTTGCACCTCTATATTCATTTTGCTAGTCATTCTGACCTCTGATTACATGGTTAGAAATAGTTCCTCACATTGCAGCATCTACTCTCTTGCCTCTGCTCATTGCTCACACTTTCACTGGTCCCCATCCCAGTGTATCATTGATCACCTAGCAATTTCCTGCCCTTGCCTCAAGCCTACTTCAACTGCTTCTCAACAGCCTGGTCCTCAACTAGTACTCCTGGGGCACAACTGTTTATTCGTCTGCATTTCCTTTTATTTTTTTTTTTGAGACAAGGTCTCAGCTCTGTGGGCCCAGGCCAGAGTGAAGTAGCGGATTCACAGCTCACTGCTGCCTCAACCTTTTGGGTTCACTCAATCCTCCCACCTCAGCCTCCCAAGTAGCTGGGACCACAAGTAAGTGCCACCACACCCGGTGAACTTTTAAATTTTTTGTAGAGATAGGGTTTTACCTGTTGCCCAGGTTGGTCTCGAACTCCTGGGCTCAAGAGATCCTCGGCCACAGCCTCCTAAAGTGCTGGGACAGCAAGTGTGAGCCACTGCACCTGGCCCAGTCATCTGTATTTCCAAAGCATGTCAATTTATGTATGTCTCTCCCTCCTCAGTAGACTGAGGCTTTGCTGATAGGTAAATAAAGAAAAGCTGCCTTCAAAATGTGTGTGTGTGTGTGTGTGTGTGTGTGTGTGTGTGTGTGTGTGCGCACGCGTGTATAATTTTTGAGACAGGGTCTCACTCTTGTCACCTATCCTGGAGTGCTATGGTGAGATCTCAGCTTACTGCGAACTCTGTCTCCCAGGCTCAAGCGATCCTCCCACCTCAGTCTCCCAAGTAGCTAGTGGTGCATGTCACCATACCCAGCTAATTTTTTTTTGTATTTTTAGTAGAGATTTTTAGGGTTCCGCCATGCTGCTCAGGTTCGTCTCCAACACCTGGACTCAAGCAATCCACCCACCTTGGTCTCCTAAGTGCTGGGATCAAAGGCGTGAGCCACCGTGCCTAGCTGCTCTACTTTCATTCCCTATCCCTTCACATTTTCCCCACTCCTATGGGCATTTGAGAAATGCCTATTAAATCTAACACCAGCTTAAATGAAATATACTTAAGACTATTCTGGGCCAGGCGCGGTGGCTCACGCCTGTAATCCCAGCACTTTGGGAGGCCGAGACGGGCGGATCACAAGGTCAAGAGATCGAGACCATTCTCGCCATGATGAAACCCCGTCTCTACTAAAAATATAAAAATTAGCCGGGTGTGGTGGCACGCGCCTGTAGTCCCAGCTACTCGGGAGGCTGAGGCGGAAGAATCGCTTGAACCCAGGAGGCGGAGGTTGCAGTGAGCTGAGACTGCGCCACTGCACTCCAGCCTGGCGACAGAGCAAGACTCCATCTCAAAAAAAAAAAAAAAAAATACTATTCTGAGGTCCATATCCATATCCACTTCCAGGAAGATTAAAGTTTTTCAGTTGTCTGCAGATTGAAACTAAAAATATTCCATTATATCTTATAAGTTAAACACATTAGACAGTTTACGCAGCAGCTGATAATCTGGAGGGCTATGCTAACAAGGGAATATACCTACATATCACAGCAGAGAATTAGTATATAATCACTGAAATGGGACTTAAGATTTTTTTTTTGGTGGGGGGGGCTTTTACAACATGAAGATAGGGCCTTAAGATTATATGCAGTTTAGATTCTTTCGCTAAACACACAAAGAATTATTGATTTGTTCAAGCTCATACTGCTAGTTAATGAATAAGCCAGAAGTAGAATTGTGATTTGTTCTAATTGTTTGGTCCACCGTAGACTACTAACATTTTTAAGATTTTTTTTTTAATTGTGGTAAAATATACCTAATAAAATTTACCATCTTAACACTACTATCATTTATGTTTTCATTTAGGAACAAGGAAAGGCAACATATCAAACATCAGAGCAGCAAAGGTGAACATACTGCCACAGCACAGATATCAAATCCTAACATTCCATTTTAACAGAAGAGATGTGGTGTTCGCATCAACAGCTCTGCAAAGAAAATTTGCTTTTTCTTCCCACATACAGCATGTGTTACCTACTGTGTAAAGGCCCATTCAGGAGAAACGCCAGTAGTACTAGTCTATGTTTCACTAGTTTAACAGGAAAATTCTATAAAATCTCTCCCTTAGAAGATTCATCTATAAAAATGAATCCATAATAATACGTGACAGGCAAGAAAAAGTACCATCCAACAACCACAGGCATCATCCCCAATTCTATTTTCCTTTATAAGAACAGCTCTTACCATTTCATATATACTTGCTGGTACCATCATCCCAGCAGTGGTAAAAGATTTTCTTGGTTCTAACCACCTCTTCCTTCCACCATGGTTCAAGCATAAACATACTAAACTCTATCGCTGTATCAAGGTATAGAAATTCACTTTGCAATGTCCTGTTTCTTTACTGTTTCAGATCATGTTACCAAGTATAACTCACTTTCTTCCACCCACTTCCTTCTTTAAACTTTCTCTCCTTGAGAGTCAGTATATATTTCACTAGCAAATCAACTGTTTCTTAGTAGACATTGTACGCATGGGCAGAAACACCATCCAGGCAGTTCATCAAATAACTTCCCTCTTTAGAAAGGATAGAAATGCCCAGTTCTCAACAATTCCACAATTGATTACCCATGGCTGCTTCACTGACTGACATTTCTTGTTGCTTCAGGGACACAACACTGGCCTGGGAGTCATAGCATGAGGGTTGTGAGCTAATATTCAAAAAACAGTGTGACCTTGAAAAAACTCATAAGTTTTCTGGGGCTACTTCTTCTTCTATAAATTAACTGCAAAACTAAGATGTTTTTTCTTTCCTTTCTTTTTTTTTTTTTTTTTTGAGACAGAGTCTCGCTCTGTTGGCCGGGCTGGAGTACAGTGGCATGATCATGGCTCATTACAGCCTCAACCTCCTGGGCTCAACCAATTCTCCACTTCAGCCTCTCAAGTAGCTGGGACCACAGGTGTGAACGGTCATGCTCTGCTAAGTTTTAAATCTTTTGTAGATATGGAGTCTTGCCATGTTGTCCAGGCTGGTCTTGAACTACTGGGCTGAGGAGCTCTTCCTGCCTTGCCCCCTGGCTCTAAAATGATTTTTAAATGGTCTTCAAACTTAAAGACTATACCATTGATTATAACATTGCGTATTAATTAGAAAACTTAAAAAAATTAAAAGCCTAGAAAGAGTTATAATCTGTTGAATAATTTAATACTTCCATATTCATGTCCTTAAAAGTAACATTTACTAGTGGCAGGTTCATCTTGCAGGTCTACAATTTATTCTATGAGAAACTTCTGGGCTGGGTGCAGTGGCTCACACCTGCAATCCCAGCACTTTGGGAGGCTGAGGCAGGTGGATGACGAGGTCAGGAGTTTGAGACCAGCCTGGCCAATATGGTAAAAGCTCGTCACTACTAAAAATATTAAAAAATTAGCTGGAAAAAAAAAAAATTAGCTGGGCATGGTGGTGCATGCCTGTAGTCCCAGCTACTTGGGAGTCTGAGGCAGAAGAATTGCTTGAACCCGGGAGGCGGAGATTGCAGTAAGCCGAGATCATGCCACTGCACGCCAGCCTGGGCAACACAGCGAGTGAGACTCCATCTCAACAACAACAAAAAAAAGAAGCTTCTGAACAACGAAGATTACAGAATTTCTTCTTGCTTGGCCCATAAGTATTAGGGATACGGCACCAACACCAAGGAACATTTTCTTTCTATATAAAAACAACGTTTTTGTGGATTTCCTATATTAA